CATAGTTCTCCAAGTTTCCGCCCTATACAGTAGGACTGTCTTGACATTTTTATTGAAAATTCTGACTTTGGTGTTGGTTGACAGACAGTTGTTTTGAGTTTTAGATGTTCTTCACTTGTAAATATGCTGCTCTTGCTTTGCCGATCTACGCCTTCACGTCTGTATCAGATCCACCGTGTTGATAAATGATGCTTCCCAGATATGTAAAGATTTTTTCATCGTCCAAAGCTTCTCGGTCGTGTGTAATTTGATTGATGCATGTTGTGTTGTATCGGATAATCTTGTTTTTCCCTTGGTGTATGTTGAGACCTACTGCTTCTGAGGCTGTTGCTACACTGATCATCTTCTCCTGCATTTGTTGTTGAGTGTGCGATAAAAGAGCCAGATCATCTGCGAAGTTCAGCAATCGTCCAGCTGCATTCTAGCTGTCCACCGTATCCCAAAACGCTAACCAGAAAAAAAATTTTTTTCTATCTATTAAACATTTTGTTCAGAATAGCTTCTTTTACGGAAGAATCCCGGTATTAAGGGAATCTATTAAATGACTACTGTATTTGACAAATGTTCTACCTCGATTATTTATATTAAATAACACTGGGATTTAATTCATTTTGTGATCTATATTACTGACATAAGTAGTATCTATCATTCGATAATGGAAACGCCTTACTATTCTATTAATGATTTAACTTTATTTTATGATTTACATGTTTATTCATTCATATTGAAATGTAAAACATCATGTTTGAAGTATCATTTAAAAATCAAACTGTATAATAGTAATTTGTTGACATTAGTTTAAGTGTATTGATAACGTTGAACTAAAGTTGAGATGCTCATTTATTGAATGATTTAAACTGTTTTTAATTGTACTTAGTATATAGAGTTGTTATATATTCAACTTTTCAATACTTCATTTATTTTTGATGGTTTCCACTCGTTTTCATTTTGCTGAAACTTGTAATTATCAGTCAATGGTTAGTATTTCTTATTTTGTTTGATGTTTTGTTATTTGAATTGAATTTTTAGAAAATACACCAATTTGTACTCACACATTTTAATTCTACTGTCATTCAGTCCACTCTCCCCATTCTTGTTCAACTTTGTGGTCGGCGTACTTTTAGAGATAACACTCTCCTCATCTAAATTTCCAGGGGTTGAACTTGTACCGGGAGGTTCACTTGTTGACTTAGAGTATGCTGATGACATAGTTTTATTCGCCGAAGACGCTGACAAAATGCAAAGTCTTCTGACCACTCTAAGCAACAATGCAAGCATGTTCGGGATGCGATTCTCCCCCTCGAAATGCAAAATGTTGCTTCAGGATTGGGTTACATCGACACCCGAACTAGTGATAGGGAGTGAAGTAGTTGAGTGTGTCGACCGCTTCACTTATCTTGGAAGTCTCATCAGCCCTTGTGGTCTGGTGTGTGACGAAATCTCAGCACGGATACAGAAGGCTCGACTAGCTTTTGCCAACTTGCGTCATTTATGGCATAGGCGAGATATCCGTCTATCAACCAAAGGACGTGTTTACTGCGCAGCAGTTCGTTCCGTCCTTCTTTATGGCAGTGAAACATGGCCGGTAAGAGTAGAGGATATTCGTAGGTTACTAGTATTTGATCATAGGTGTCTTCGAAACATTGCTCGTATATCATGCGAACATCGAGTAAGTAACACAGTTGTTAGAGATCGGGTACTATGTAAGGGTGGCAAATCAATTGATGAAGTAGTGAAACTTCATCAGTTGAGATGGCTGGGACACGTGTTACGTATGCCCAACAACCGACTGGCTCGACGTGCGATGTTCAGTGGTATAGGAGTAGGTTGGAAGAAAGCTAGGGGCGACCAGACCATAATATGGCACAAGTCCATGAAGTCACTGACAAGTAGACTGAGTCATGTTGGTAGGTGTAGGCTACCTGGTTTGGGACTGTGAGATGATAGCAACCGATGGTTAGAGACCTTGAATGACATGGCTCAAAATCGTTTGCAATGGCGCAGGTGCATCCACTCTTTGTGTTCTCCCAAATTTCGATCTCCTGATTCCTCCTTGTCTCTTTTTTCTCTTTGGAACTTTCTTTCACTGGATTATACTCCTTGAATAACATCTCCAAACCCTAATCTTTCCGATTACTGCTTATACTCTTATTACCTCTACCACTACGGTATTTGAATCGACAACTGCATCTTTGTGCTAATGTGGTATGGCAACACGAACTGATGTACGTACGTACGAAGTTCTGCGTTGTTACTGACTGACAATTAGTGTTTAGAACTAAGCAAGCATGACATAAGTTATTGCTCAGTGATCAAATTCTTTATAAGTCCTTCGGTTGTAGAAGTTTCATGGGGATTATCTTAGTCTGTGAGGCGTATTTGTCACAGGCTGAACTCAATCAGGGTACCATTGGAATTCGGGGTATATTGAACAGCTGTTGTCGCCCTAGCATTAAGCACTCACGATTTCTCCAGGAATTAAACCTAGAAATACCAAGTCTATCAGGAAATGCATAACTCTGAGTATCACCGAATGGACGTTTTCGCGGTTTTGTACTCCGGAGAAGTTTCATACTGGGACGTAAAAGCAGTCCAGTGGTTCCTGATCTTTACTGGTACTCCAACTGAGATTATTCTGTGAAATAAATGCATGCATTCATAATTCTAGTGCATAATGTCTCTCATTTTAGTTCATTTTTCATGTTGCCTGTTAGCAGTTAGTAAATCGAGGTCACATAGTTAAGATAATTAATTTGTTATCTTATTAATAAATGTCAGATTAACTTATAGTAACAATCCAGTTACTTTTCAAAAATGTCAAAATAGTTTATTCCTTTTTTGGTTTATCATTAGATGGTTATATCAGAAAAAAATAGTTACTTTCATGGTTGTTCTTTTGATTTTTGTCTAATCTAAACTTTTGGTCAGTTTTCATGCAATAGCATTGTTTATTGTACACAGATTGCTAAATAATACTTATGATTGCCTAGTAATATACGTTTATTTTTACAATGTGGGTTTGATGAGATTGTTGGATTTTATTGAGATCCCTAACTGACCAAAAATATATAATCATTGAGAACTGGAAGCACTAGATACCCGTTTCTTTCTAGTACAGAACTCCTCAGAAGTGCACATCCATCACCTCGTACATAGTGATGTAACACAGAACCTTCGATTTACGTGTAAGTGCTTAATATCTAGACTTTTGAACCTCGATCCATTGTTGTGATAATTTGACTTCAATCAACCCATGATATCAGATGACAATCTTCGATTGTATCGGGTAGTTATCTTTATTCCACCTGATACAGTTTAGCTTTACTTGTCACAGTTTATGACTTACTTACTTACGCCTGTTACTCCCAATGGAGCATAGACCGCCGACCAGCATTCTCCAACCCACTCTGTCCTGAGCCTTCTTTTCTAGCTCCATCCAATTCTTGTTCATTTATCTCATGTCTATTTCCATTTCCCGGTGTAATGTGTTCTTTGATCTTCCTCTTCTCCTTTGGCCTTGAGGATTCCGTGTGAGGGCTTGTCTTGTGATGCAGTTGGGTGCTTTCCTCAATGTGTGTCCTATCCACTTCCAGCGCTTCTTCCTGATTTCTTCCTCCACTGGGATCTGGTTTGTTCTATCCCACAGTTGGTTGTTGCTAATAGTGTCTGGCCAACGGATTTGAAGTATTTCGCGTAGACAACTGTTAATAAACACCTGTATTTTGTGGATGATGGCTTTTGTAGTTCTCCAGGTTTCTGCCCCATACAGTAGAACTGTGTTGACATTTGTATTGAAAATCCTGACCTTGATGTTGGTTGACAGTTGCTTTGAGTTCCAGATGTTCCTCAGTTGTAAATATGCTGCTCTTGCTTTACCGATCCGTGCCTTACAGTTTCTGACTAAAACTCCTTAAATTCCTTCTCGAAGTTAGCCACTAGTAAGCACATGATCGATTTGTGGTTTTATTGAAATTCAACAATCTCCACAACCATGTACTAGCTGTTTAAATGTTATATTATCATATTGTTTAAAATATATTCGTTACTTAATCTAGTATATAAATTAACAGGTTAGCAAAACTGTAGAATTGACATGACAAGTTTAGTTCATCCTTGAATTGGAGTTGTGTTGTGAAGTTGAAACTTTCTTTTTGATAACCATTTGAAGTAATCATTGAAGAGCTTAGTTGACATGGCTTAGCATTGGTTTCTTATCTTCTTTTAAATCTTTCTTAACTATATTTTCACTACTATGGATAATATTATTCTGAGTGTATTCGTTTATATTATTGAAATATTTTGTGGGTGCACATTTTTTAAACTTAAATCCTATGATCTTGGTAACTAACTGTTAATTGTTAGTTGACCATTTATATTTGAAAGAGATGACAATTTCAGAAGTCTATGGGCTTTTGAAGTAATACATCTTGGTGTATAAATCTGAGATAAAATCGATTTATTCATTTGTATCTCTTAAAACCGTCATAGTGTTACGCTAGGTTACTATTGAGAGAGAGAAAAAAAATGTTATGAAAGAAGGTTCTGAATTTCATGTATAATTTAAATCTTAGTTCCTTTGAGTCACAGGGTTATTAGTACGAAAAATACGCTGAAACAAAGGAAGATGTAGTGGTATTTACAAATTGTTTATTCAATGACTAGATTTACATTTGTATAGTTTATATTGAATCTTTATTACTTTCGATCATCATGTTACATTTAGTTGTTACAATTGTATGACACATCTCAACTAAAGAAAAATTTGATTATCCGCTATCCAATAGTTACATCTGACAGTTAGTGACTCCATGAATTAATGCTGCTATTATTATTATCATTATTATTAAGTTAGTTTGAGATCTTCTAATCATTTGTCAATCTATTGTCTTTTGTTTTGTTATACTGATGATTAAAACTAGGGTTGTACATTGTTATTGTATTAATATTGTTTTTCTTATCGTTATATTTATTTAACTTATTCTGTTCATTCTATTTAACAGATACCAAAAATATTTGATTTATTTGGTAAAAATGGTGGAGCCTCTTCATGTAAGTCAATATTTATTTCATCTTTTGTCTTATCGATTGTCATACTATAAGCATTAAAATGCTTTTTTTTTAAAATATAAGGGTTACACTTCTACTACTACTTGAAGTTTGTGCTGATGATGTCGTTCAGAAGAACGATGAAGGCTACACGACCAAAACATCCAGCTTATAGGATAAAACTCCATCAAAAAGAACCACATTAACTAATGTACCAATAATTTCGAATGATTCTTGACAAATTCTAGACAATTTTAATAGTTGAGATTATGAGTCAATTGAAACTAGACCATCATGGAAAACTTGCAAGGACTAGACATCCGCTTCGTCCCATTGTAGGACTCCTCAACAGTGCGTATCCACGATCCCGCCTCGCCAGATTCCAACTCAAGACCTATCAGTCTTTTGAGTGAACGTTTAGTCACTAAACCAATGAGCCGATCGGCATTCAACAGTGTAAATGTCTAACTTCAACTAATCCACGAAATTGAGCCACACATCCACCATTGTCATCAGTGAGTTACTATCTCACAACAGACCTGGTTGAACTTCACTGGTCACTGCTTCTCACTAGAACTGTAGGAAATACCTGTTGAAGCCAGTCACTAGTGAGCATATGTTGATTAATATCAGAAGGGGTTTGTTATAGACATATTCAACATAGCACAACTCGATATGTTGGGTGAAAAATAAATAAACACAAAAGTCAGGTCTTGTAGTGAAATCTTTGATGAAAATCACACGTCAATATATACGGATAAAACATACTGGAAAGTGTTGGCTACAACATACTTAGTGAATATTAAAGATTCTTTAGATAAATCTTAGCTGAGTCTGTACTATAGCAGTGTAAAAATCTAAATAAAAAGAAAAGAAAAGAAGTCTCTCTTCATCATATTTAATAAGTAAAATACACATAAATATTTGGAGGGAGTTAGAAATAAACACCGTTGAACGCCTGTTGAATGTGGTCTATAGGGTAAGCGCTCACACGCGAAACTGTTAGGTCCTGATTTCGAGTCTCACGAGGCGAGATCGTGGATGAGTACTACTGAGAAGTCCTACAATAGGACGAAACAGCCATCTATTGCTTCCATGTTTTCCATGATGGTTGGAGGTATCAAAAAACAATCCTCAACTTATTCACCTCTATTTATAATTTACATTTATTCCATAATAAAGATCACTTTTACTGATGTTTCTATTAAATAAAATGTCGATCATGAATAATACTGATTAGTAAAAAAATTAAATCAAATTCAATATAATCTAATTTCATTCATTCATTCATTCATTATCTTATCTGACCTAAAAGAGATAGGCATCTCTCTCATCAACATCAATAAGTTCAATACTAATAATCATCATCATCATCATCATGAAATGATTGAAACCCCTTGGAAATATCAAAATTTTCTCTAAATCTATTTTTATTTACCTTTTCACCTTAGAAATTATTTTGTTACAATGTATATTACATAATACTATTTGTTGTTCTATCATTCTATCTCTTAACATGTTTATTGTCTTGATATTATTATGTGATTAATTTGTATCGCTTAATTTGCCAATTTTCATTCATAAATAAAAGGGTACATCATTTAATGTAATGCGCACACACACACACACACATAGATGGGCATGTGTTGTGTATGTATGTGTGTGTGTGGGTGGGTGGGTACGTTGTGTATTCATTGTGAATATACATAGGTGAATTAATGTGAAAACAATGATGGAACAATTCTTTTACATATCTCATTTTGTACAATAATAAACTTCATATATGTGTATTAGTATTATTATTACTATTACTAATAATACGTTGATTGTTAACAACGAGGATCCCCTATGCCAGTATGAATCTAATTAATGCATTATAAAACTTATAATAGATAAATATAATTACAAGTATAGTATTATATATATACAACCGGTAATATTCCGACTTATCGATTATTGAGTAATAACCATTGCTATATGTGTCTAGTCATAAGGTCCTTATGGATTGAATTATCAGGTTAAATAAGAGATGACATGAGATTGTTTTAATATTAGATGATAGTTGAAGGTGGTTAGTAAAAGAATATCTCTAAGTAACATTTATGTTCGTTGAAATCTATCAAAGAAATTGATACATATGATTTCATCAGTTAAGTTTGGAATTATCATTATTACTAGTGTTATATATAGAAATATCTTCAACAAAAAATGTTCGATCAAGTTTATACATTGAATAAAATAGAAATCATATGTCTATGACTAAAAACCACTGATCATTCATTTATGTATTAAGGTATATTCATACAATTGATCACAACATTTACATGTTAGTTCATTGAAGGTAATCAACAAGAAACCGTAAATCTAGGTTTCGTGATAGTTGACCCTGATTAACTAGGCAGATGTAACTGTAATCTTGAGGGAACTGATGCATCATGTAGAATTCAAACTCACATCATCTATTCTCACATTCTATAACATTATTACTGAGCTATTCAGGTCACAGCTGATATCCTGTACAACTGGGACATTTACATTGATTTATCACGAACTATTAACACTAAGGACTAGACAAGCATGATATTCATCACTATCTCATTATCATTTAACATAAATAATTAACTGTTTCATAAATCAAACCATTTAATGCCGCTTTAGTTTAAACAGTCATATATTAAGAGTAGGTCTTACCTAAAAGATCTGACTGGAAGTCAACTACCTGAATAAATAATTTCTCGTCAAAACAAAACTAAGATTTCAATGGTTAAGATCATCAGTCAGTTGAAGCTAGACCACGATGTAAAACCTGGAAGCACTGGACGGCCGTTTCGTTCTATTGTGGGACTCCTCAGCAGTATGGCAACCTGGACCGATGCACATATGTGCCTGGTCCTACGTTGTAGCTGACTGACTGACTGACTCCTCAGCAGTGCACATCCACGATCCCGCCTTGCGAGATTCGAACCCAGGACCTATCAGTCTCGTGCACGTGCACTTAACCTATAGACCACTGAGCTGGCCGGCATCCAATGGTGTCAATGTCTAACTTCAACTAATCCACGAAATTGAGCTACACATCCATCATTGTCATCAGTGAGTTACTATGTCACAACAGACCCAGTTGAATCCCACTGTTCACTGCTTCTCATTAGAATTCCAGGATATACCTTTTGAAGCCAGTCACTAGTGAGCATATGTTGATTAATATCAGAAGGGGTTCTGTGGATATTATAGTAATTTCAATGGATAAACAAACTGAACTCTCACACACACATACACACAAATACAAATATCATACAGATTTATAAAAGTTTTGTTTGTTTGTTTTTTTCCACCATCAAAAGTTAGACATTAACACCGTTGAATGCCGGATCAGTGGTTTAGTGGTTAGGTGCTCGCGCGTGAAACCAGTAGGTCTTAGGTTCGAGTCTCGCGGGGGGCGAGGTCGTGGATTTGCACTGCTGAGGAGTCCCACAATAGGACGAAACGGCCGTCCAGTGCTTCTAGGTTTTCCATGGTGGTCTGGCTTCAACTGACTGGTGATCTTAACCATTGAAAACTAAGATTGTCGTACAACTTTTATTACACACAAATTTACACACACACGCACACAAAATAAATAAACATGTTTTCTTTCTATTTCATAATATGACTTTAATTTATAAGTCGTCTATGGGTTAAGTTTCAAGTCTAAGCAATTTTATAAAGACTAAAAATAAACTTTTCAATGTCTGGATTAAATAAAACTTAGTTTAACAACATTCAGTTGAAACTTAATCTATTCTATTTCATCATTCTATATTGAATATCATCTAAGAAGTGATGAGATGATAATTTATGGATGACCTCTGAGTGACGCCAAAGTGATCTTGAAACTGTTCACTTAATAACTAAGATCAAATAAAGGTTATAAACCTGTGTGAAGAATTAAAATTATGATTTACAGTTGATGATTAAATTTGGAAATTACGTTTAATGCCAAAACACTATTTAACCAAATAAATGTGTGATTTTCGCGCCAAAATCCAAGACCTCTTATCTTATACCTGATTGGTTCGTCCATAGATTGTAGTGTCGCTCGAAAAATGATATGCACCAAAACCATTCGTTTTTCTTCTTCTTCTTCTTCTTCTTCTTCTTCTTCTTCTTCGTATTATTATTATTCTATGTACAATTTATATCTTCTTTCTTTTAGAGAATATCAAATCACCTTTAATTCTATATTGAAAGAGAACTACTACTAATAATAATAGTAATGCATATTTACAAATATTGCATCAAAAAAATGTAATAATATAAAGAAAAAGAAGAGAAGAGAAAAGAAAAGAAAAGAAAAAGGAACAAACTGTTATTCACTTATTGAATTACTAAAGAAAAATTTCTTATATTAGAATTATTTGTCATATCATAATACAATGATATTAATAATAATAGTAGTAGTAGTAGTGATAATAATAATATAAGTAGTAATAGATTTTCTCTGTTTAGTTTAACATTGTCAGCGGCTAGGCATTAATCAAATACAAATAAATTTCCTTATCATTGGACATTGTTCATTCTGTCTTTAAGTCAGTTTAATAAATGTTGGGCGGTATATTCATATCTAGTCAAATATATATTTCGCCATATAAAGTGCTTGTAGCTATATGAGTGTTGTAGAACAAAACAATGAATAATCTTAGCGATTGCTTAGATGATTAAATGTATCATATAATGTCTAAACAAAAGGAATGAGAGCGAAATGAGAGCAACAAGGTGTTAATTGTTTCTTTTTTGTTGTTTTTGTTGTTGTTTAAGTTTCTTTTTCTTCCTTTATACTGTTTATCTCTAATGTATAATTTCTGTAAAATAGAAATTCTACTAATTTGACATTAACTATAGTACTACTACTACTACTACTTACAAGTAGTACATACTAAAGGAATGTTTTCTTTCTTTCTTAAAATGGAAAAAGAAAAAAAGAACAATTAATTAAATAATTAATTAACTATCTATTATTATATTACAATAAGATGTTTAATGATAACTTTAAATTATTTCTCAAATTGATATTCATTATTAATATCCAGTCATTGAAGAACTTTGACTTCTTCTTCTATAAGTAAATGAATAATCACTATGTTGTATTGATGGGATTTTAAATTTAGGGGAAAAAAAATTTTTCCTCACTGAAATTGTAAAATCTAATTGGAAGTTTATAGTGTAAAAACAAAACAAACAAACATCAGAATAGAATAGGAAAGATGCAAATGAACTTAAGAGGGTACATAAAGTAGTTTAAGTGTATATATATATTGTGGGACTCCTCAGCAGTTCGTATCCACGATCCCGTTTCGCCAGATTCCAACCCAGAACCTATCGGTCTCGTGCGTGAACATTTAACCTCTAAACCACCGATCCAGCTGGTATCCAATGGTGTTAATGTCTAACTTCAACTAATCCACGAAATTGAGCCACCTTACACCATTGTCTTTAGTGTTTGCAGGTTTTCCATAGTGATCTAGCTTCAATTGACTCATATGCTCAACTATTAAAATTATTATAATATCCACAAAAACCCCTGATATATATATATATATATATATATATATATATATATATATATATATATATATATATATATATATATATATTAGAATATTCTGGAACATTGACAGTAATAAATGAGCAAAAGGAGACGGAGTAGAAATAAGTGACTATGTAATTTTTTTTAAAAAAACGCTTAACACTTATGCCTTCTTCTTATAATATTCATAAGTTGGTTGTACAGCGTATATATCGACATGGTTTATGAATATCTGACTACTGTCAATGTTATTTCATTAGAACTTCATTAGTCGTTCGTATTAATATTGCAAAATAATTGGTAGTTATAAAGTAACGATAATAAATACCAGTTGGGAAGGGTATTCTTAACAAACAAGAGAACATGTGACTACAGATACACAAAAAGTCAGAATGATCAGTAAACATCAGTAAAAACATTCAAGCGGTTAAATTAACCAAGATATTTTCTAGTTATCGAGCTTTTTCTACCATTCAAAGTATCTTATTATCTCACTTGGTATTGTTTTACTTGAATCTTCCCATTGATGTTTTAGGACTGAAATTGATCAGTCTCTTATTGGAATATGTGCATACTGTGTGTATGCCTCGATATTGCCTTAATTTACAAGCATTATAAGCAAAGATGGATAGTGGCTAGCAATATCAAGTGAATTAAACTTCAACCTATTGCACAAGCAAGTGGCTATCAAGACTCAGTAGCTAAGTGGATAACGCGATGGCGTTTGAAGCGAACGGTACTGGGTTCGAGTCCCAGGGTGAACATCAACTCTGAGATGCAGGTACATCCAGCTGACGAGTCCCAAACAGGGTGAAACGCTTGTTCTGGATTCCACTGCTAGCCACTATCCATCTTTGCTTATCTTATTATCTGTTTCAACTGTTTTGTGTATATTCCATTCAGGAAGTTATATATATCCTAAATACATGGCTGGTATTACTTAAGTACTAAATTATATAGATATTTGTATGAGAACTTTTAACTTTTATTCTTAATCTACTTTAGCTCATAGTTTAGCTTGTCGTGTATTTAAATGTTTAAACTGTCCTATGATGGAGCCATGCTTCAGTTGTTTAGGTGTTTGTCTTTTAGCCATTAAATCTCAGGTACAAATCTTGCTCTACCTACTTCAATTTGAGAAACGAGATAGTATCATTAGCCCTTACATTCATAGTGTTGCTCATATCCGCGTACTTGGTGAATGAGTTAAGTTAGTTTTTCATTCACCTTAATCAATGTGTTTCTTCAATTTCACAAAATAACTTGTAGTTTATCACTTATTTTTTAAAAAAATATTCACTTCTGTACAGTAATCATTTATTTGAAGAAAAGAAAATAACGTTTTAACATGTTCTTTCTGTTCATGGTTAGAGATGTCAGATTACTGTGCGTTTAGTTCTCATTAATACTATTTTCATTTTTCTTATAAAATAAACGAAAATACATCTCTTTTTTCTTTAGTATTCAAAATGCCATTTCCAACTGATCCTCGTTTGGCCAGTTATTTTCTACCTGGTTATCCTGCTGCAATCGCGGCTGCTATGGCAGCTGTAAATGCTGCCTCTTATTCATTATCATCTTCACCATGTTTAACAACATGTTCATCATCAACATCATCTTCGTTACCATCCATGACTAAACCAACTTCTTCAATATGGAATATGAATCCTGCTGCTGTTGTCGCGGCAGCTGCTGCTGCGGGAACAGCATCTTCTTTTTGGTCAACTGGTTGCAGTGGCGGTGGTGGTTCATCGTCTACTTCTTCTGGTTATGCAAGTTCTGAAGGTAGTGGAGGCAGTAATGGTACTAATGGTTCAAATTGGTTGCATCATTCAGCAATATCACCAGGTAGTAATAGTAGCATAGGTGGGAGTGGCGGTAGTGGAGGTGGAAGCTGTGGCAGTGGTTTCAGTTTCTTACAATATCCTTATCCTCGTCAGCATAATTTATTTAATCAGAAACATTATCTACGAACATCAAATGATGACGATTTAATTTCATGTATAAGAAGAGAATCACCAAGTTTTGATCGATCAGTATATTTTTCAAATAACAATATTAATAATAATAATAATAACACTAATTTTTCATATGCAGAAAATCATCCTATTGACTACAATTTATCTGGTCAAATTTCAAGATTTTCTAATTTATACAATGATCCTGTCAAGAATTCAGCAAGTTTGGTAAGTATGCTTATATATCTATCTTTTTGTTTACTAGTTTTTCTCTTGGTTTTGTGTTGTTGGTGTCTTCTTTTTTCCGGGGGGTGGGGAAAGGTTTCTGACAGTATATAAATAAAGTGGAAAGAAAGAAAATTAAACAAAAAGAATTTTTTAAAACAATTTCAATGAGTTGTTTTCTCTTTTTTAACAATAATGAATCGTACACTTGGTGTTGTTTTACTTGTATCTTTCCATTGTTATTTAGGACTGTAATTGATCAGTCTCATGTTGGCATATGTGCATCTTGTGAGGATTGCCTCAATATAGCCTTAAGTCATAAGCTTTTTAAGCAAAGATAGATATTGGCTAGCAGTGGAATTCAGTTTGACGCACGTTTCATCCTATTTGGAACTCATCAGCTGAATGTACTTGCATCCAAGAGTTGCTTAAAATGCTTGTAACTTAAGGCTATATCGAGGCAATCCGCACAGGATGCACATATGCCAATAAGAGACTGGTCAATTGCAGTCCTAAATAACAATGGGAAGGTACAAGTAAAACAACAGAACCAAGTGAATTTAAACTTTACCCCATTACACAATCAGGCTATCAGGACTCAGTAGCTAAGTAGACAACGCGATGGTATTTAAAACGAACGGTACTGAGTTCGAGTCCTAGAGTGGACATCAACTCTGCAATGCATGTACATCCATCTGACGAGTTCTAAATAGGACTAAACGCTTGTCCTGTATTCCACTGCTAACCACTATCCATCTTTGCTTAAAGCAATGATTCGTATTACTTTTTAGTTATTTTGTTTATATTGTCTTTTTTATATTGTACACTAAGTGTGTGTTTGTTTTTATTTATTTATCCAGATGACTAACTTGTTACAAACTACTATCTTTTTTTTTCTTTGGCATTATTCTCTGCTTCCTCCTTTTTGTCTTGTTTAGGTTACTTTAATTTAGGTTATTTAGCCGAAATAAATGATACACAGTATTGTTTAGTATAGAACTTTATTCAAGATGAATGAATGAAGTTTTAGACTGGATAAATTTTTTTTAATTATTTTGTTATTGAAAGAGATAGAAAGAGATAAAGAATATTACATATAAGTTCATGTGATTGTGATCACATTGACAAGTTGTCAAGACCAAATTGTTTATTTAACCTTCTTTTTTGGGCACTTTCATTGATGTGGCCAACTAAGAATTGAAAACTGTCCTTATTCTCGTAACAACACTTAAGTGTCATACTATTAATAGCGTTATTAGAATGATTCTACATTTAATATTTTCTAAGTTGCTATGAAGTTCAATGAAACAAAAAAAACTTTTTTCTGTAAAAGGAACTACTTCAAATCAGGTAGTACTGCTAGCAATCGTTTTAAATTTGTCTGGAACCTGGTATACATTCCGTTTATCACTTTACAACTTTTCATATTACTCCACTTCTAATCTTATGCTTATAAGGCTGAATAATTAAAATCAAAAAATGCTCCATTGATGGCTTTTTCAGTAGTATAGGAATTACATATAAGATAAGTTGATAAATCTCATTACTCTTACCATGTCTATATAACTGCTCGTCTCGTGGCTAGATATGTTCTCAATTTGTCAACTTTATAAACATGAAATATTATCACAATTAACATTACTTATCATTTTCCCCACGTTCTAACACTCATTCATTCAACTGACAGAGAATTAAAAGATGAAAATTGTCAAATGTAAAGTTATCAGAAGGGGTTTGTGGAGATTTTAGAAATTTTCACAGATTGAAATCATGAGTCAGTTGAAGCTAGACCACCATTAAAAACCTGGAAGCACTGGACGGCCGTTTCGTTCTATTATGGAGGACTCCTCAGCAGTGCGCATCCACGATCCCGCACCCCGCGGGATTCGAATCATCTGCTCACTAGTGACTGACCTCAAGAGATACTCCTCGAGTTTTAGTGGGAAGCCGTTACCAGTGGAGTACAACCAGGTCTGTTGTGAGATATAAGCTCACTAAAGACAATGGTATATGGTGGCGCGACTTCGTGGTTTGGTTGAAGTTAGACATTAACACCGTTGGATGCCGGCTCACTGGTGTAATGGTTAAGTGCTCGGGCGCGGAGCCAGTAGGTCCTGGGTTCGGATCCCGCGGGGTGCGGGATCGTGGATGCGCACTGCTGAGGAGTCCCATGCTAGGACGAAGTGGCCGTTCAGGTTTCCAATGGTGGTCTAGCTTCAACTGACTCATGATTTCATTCTGTGGAAATGTAAAGTTAGTTTTGATCATAGATTGACATTAACCAACAGTACTATTAAAAACCTACAATCACTTTATAACAGTGTACGTATTCAATTATTTCACATAAAAAAATCCAAATCAGAAGTGTTATAGTGATTGTGATACGAACGTCAAGGCAGTTCTACTGTATGGAGCTGAAACTTGGAGAACTACAACAACCACAATCAAGAAAGTACAAGCATTTATAAATAGCTGTCTACGCAAGATACTCAACATCCATTGGCCGGATACCATCAGCAATAGCCTTCTGTGGGAGAGAACAAACCAACTTCCAGCTGAAGAAGAAATTAGGAAAAGACGATGGAAATGGATAGGACATACATTACGCAACTAATCAAACTGCATCACGAGACAAGCCCTAACTTTGGAATCCTGAAGGGAAGCGGAAAAGAGAAAGGCCAAAGAACACATTACGTCGGATAATAGAAGCAGATATGAAAAGGATGAATTACAAGTGGAAGGAGCTAGAAAGGATTGCCCAGGACAGGGTTGGATGGAGAACGCTGGTGATTGGCCTATGCTCCTTCACGAGGAGTAACAGGCGTAAGTAATAGTGACTGTGATATGTTTTAAGGCACTAAATAAGAACCTAGTATATTCACATATTACCAACTTTTATCCATTTATATTATATAACACGACTATCATTCACTAGATAAATAGAAAAGTTATCTTAGCATATATGCAGAAATAGATGTTGTTTGGACGTGAAATTCCTAACATGAATTTCACCTTATTTAACATTCATTCATCAATTGAATATATCTGAATCCCAGTTCTAAATATCAAATAATACAATCTTAGAAGGAACCATTTAACTTATTTTGTACAATGATAACAAACTTGATACATCTTACATTGTCTATAAATAAATAAGGAAAGTTATACGTATTATGTTATTTGCAAGTTTGTTTTATCCTAGAGAAAATGAAGACTGCGGTGTGATAGAAGATGTTGTTGACATTTCATATTCCCATCTGAATGTAGTTTGTTCTTTGAATGAATATATAGACAGACTACTGAATGATGCTCTTTTTTTTGTCTTCTCTCATCTATTTACCTCTTTACTCTTAATGATTGTCATAGTTGTTGTTCAGATTTCATGTTGACACCTGTTTGTTTGTTTTTCTTCTCTTCCTTTCATATCATGACATGATTAGGAAAATTGATGTAAATCATGTGAAGTACAAGTTCTTTCTTGTTGAATTCAATTATTCAGTTTGTTTTACCGTATGAAGTATATTTAATGTTATATTATATCAAATATCATTACTATTATTAGTATTATCACTTTGTTTAATCCGACAATCACATAACCCTGTTAATAAACAATCATGGAGAAAAAGAGAATGTTAAAACGAAAAAACCGGTTGCATTACCACTAATAATAAAGTTTATAGGTATCTCCCATATAGTCACAAAAAGTATCATTCAAGCAAACTCTTAGTATACATATATAATAGAACTTGATCTCATCGAACCCTTCTTTCCTCTTCATTTTAACGATATTTATCGGCGTATTTCTTTTTTTTTTATTGTTCTATCCATATCTATGTGCAACAAGTTTAATCAATAAAAACCTCAAGATTATTTAACTCAATTCGAACTAACTATTATTTTACCACATGCAATTATATCATCATACATGGTCTCATGCTTTACACGCCCAATTTATTATCATTATTCTTATTATTATTATTATTACTATTGTTGCGCGAGCGCTCATTAATCTTATTATTCATAATTATTAAAGAATAATCTATACTATTCATTGTTTATAGGTGACTTTATACAATTGTATTGAGCATGTAAATACAATTGAGCGTTCTTTCTTCTTCTTCTCCTTCTTCTTCTTCTTCATCGTCTTTTGAATAGAAGGAGCAATGTCAACAATAGAGAATAATCGGGAAGAGTAAAAATAAATAAATAAATAATAATAATAATAATGATAACAATAACTACGGAATAGGAATAGTCACTTGTTCACTGTTCGTTCAAATTAAATGATACATGCGCACACATAAACTTGGCATTAGTGACCCCGCCTCTTTTTCCTCTTCTTCTTTTTATTTATTTCATAAATTTATATTATTTATTTATTATTGTTTGATTTCATTATTATTTCTTTGAAGAAAATAACTTAGATTGCAGTATTAAGCATAAGAATATGAATAGAAGGGAGAAATAGGGTATTCCGATATGTACATTTTGAATATTAAGCAATTCTTTCTTTTTTTTTTAAAAAGCATTAAAAATTCACTATATTATTTCATTGTGTATTAATAAAATAAGACTGATCGGTTCTGAGTTCGAATCACGCGAGGCGGGATTGTGAATACACACTGATGAAGAGTCCCATTTTGGGATGAAACGGCTGTCCAGTGATTCCAAGTTTTTCATGATGGTCTAGATTCAATTGACTAATGATTTCAATGAATAAAATGTGCAATATTAATGGTACTTTGTTTTCATCTTTTTTTTTATAAATGTAAAATTAACCATCTTAGGAATTTGTTAAACTTGTATCGAGTGAGTTGTTTAATATGATTCCTATGCAGATTAGATGGTTATACATTGGCTAGTTTAATACTGTGAGGTAATATACGCAGTAGGTGTTTATTTTTTATTTGAATTAATCTTATAATGTAGGGACTTTTAGGATATTTCATTAAAATCATGAAACGAACTAAGTTAGAAAATCATTGGAAACTTGAAAGCACTAT